CCATTATTTTGGGAAGTACGTGGTCTGTCCTCCGTACGTGTAGTTTTGTAGTCTGAAAGAATCTGGTAGTCACAAGTTTTCCTTGTCTATATTTCGTCCAGTAATTGATCTGTTTTGGCTGACTAGCGGCGCATTTTAACGAGAGTCCAAATAAGGCAAAAGAGACAGTACAAGATCAATGAAAAACTTGAGGAGACAGAACGCAAAGCAAAAAGAATTTGATTACAGAATTGCGCACAGACGCAATCCATGAAAGGATCAACATCAGACGCCTTGTGCCATTTTGTCGAGTCTAATGGACGATATGCTTGCATCGCCCATTGTGTCAAGAACCACCTCTGAAGTTGAACGGAGAATCAAGTGGATGTAAGTGTATGATCAATTGACTGGCTCTGATCATAGAAGGGAAGAGTGTAATGACCTTGGAGTGACTTTGGAACTAGATTAGACCTAACTCTCACGTCACTTCTGTGGCTTTCTGAGAGACTCTATAACTTTTGTTGTGACCCATTCCTATCTCTTCTTCTAGGCTGGTTCATCTTCTATCATCTTGTGAAATGTCTTGTTTTACATAATGCAAGACATAAATTTTTCTTGAGAAAGAACCACAACAAATTCGGAAGTCCTCACTCTGCCGGGTGTTTGAGGGTGCTCCACCTTCAACCTTTACTGCAAAAGACTGTACAGTATAGAGCACGCATCAATTCCATCCATCCATCCATCCATCAATTCTATACATATTCTCTGTCATATCATAATGGCGGAAGCAGCAACATCTGATGCGGCAAATATAGGCAGCAGCAGCAGTCAATCTGTCAAAGATATTGCAGCCTACCTTGAAAACACGATACCAAAAGAAGCGTGGAACAAGGATGAACGGCCTTGTAGTAAAACAAAATTCAAAACATTGGCGACCAATGTCCAAAAGATCTGGGACAAACCTTTTTCACCTCTTCTCTTGCAAGGTAACTTGCAAGGCCTTTTCATGTCACCAATCAAAGAGGACCAACTGGAAGTCGCCGTCGACGACTTGATGAAGTTTTTGGAACAAGGCGGCAAGAAGCCTGGTACAAATGTGTATCAACAGGAGCGGCAATTTGTTGGCATATCTCACAAAGTGATTGATACAGCGTTGACACACGATTTTGATATTCTGTTTTATATTTCTGATCTGACATTTTACAAGAAAGGCAATGAAGGCGAGTCCTATGGACCCTATATTTGCTTTGTGCAATTGAGTGGAATGGGGAAGACAAAGATTTTCTACAAAATGTGCAAGCATTACAAGATGAATGAAAAAGGGAAATCTAAGAGTGGTAAAGGGGAATCTAAGAGCGGTATCAATATTGTGGGTCGGCTCATTCTCTGCCACAACCCACATTCTTTGAAAGCAGAAACGGGACCCCTCAATTGCATCAGCAGGTCATTCTAAAAGAAAACAGAAACACATAACAATTAAAGATTGGCACTTGCCGTTTAACAAGTGAGCAGAATAGTGTATTTAGCTCTTGACTTCGCCAAAGCACTAGTTTGGGCTGAGGAAATGTGCATTTAATGCTCTCAACTTGCGAACGGTTGATGTTGACTTCGCAGAAACGCTTGCTTTAATTGTCTCAATCATACGTTAAGCGTTGTTTGAATTGCCAGTAGACAAAAGCCTTGCAAATTGGCGTGATAGCCACATGAAATCCCTACCAGCAGAAACTGGACTGTTGGATCCGAATCTGCTCAAGGAAAAAACCGTGAAAACAAAGGCACCGCAAATGAGCTTGGCACAATCTCATAGGAATAACAACCCACCTATCACTGCCCCCTCTACTTGTTGACTGCAGGTTGTGTTCAAAGTAATACAACATCATGGTGTCATGGTTGGGGTTTGAAGACATTGCACAGTCATCAGCTGAAGGAATACAAATTAAACTGGTCTGCTTATGACTACATACTATATGATTCAAGCCTACACAACATGCCTATGATTGCTCGATTCCGTCATCTTGGAATGCCAATCATATCCTCATCATCCAAGAATCATCATCCAAGAATCCAAAGTATCTCGACAATCGCAGCACCATAGCTTTCCAACCCAACAACAATCAACTGGTTGAGGCTGGTCTAACCCCATTTGTTCAAGTATTGCAGCAGCCCCGGTATTTTCTCACTTTTGAAGCAGCTGTTTGGTTCTATCAGACATCGTGACATTCTCTTTTTCATGGTTTGGCACCTCAACCTTGGCAGTAGTTGGTTGGTTGCGCCGTACTATTTGGTTGGTTGCACTGTACGAGGAGGAGGTTTGCCAGCGTTTGTTGATTGCACAATACTATTTGGTTGGTTGCACTGTACTATTTGGTTGGTGGCACTGTACTAGGAGGAGGTTTGCCAGCATTCTGTCAAGCACAGCTTTGGCTGAGTTTGAGCTTATCTCACTACTAATACACTCAAAGACATTGCAAGAAGGCACAACACTAAGACATTTTTGCTCAATAGTATCTTTATCCCTTCTTCACTTTTTTTTGTTGGCATTGTGTCCTACATAGCACCTCTTCAACAACAAATTTCTAGAAAAGCAATAGAAAATAAAAAAGGGGCTTAGCCCCTATTTAATTCGTCCGTCAAAAACAAGAGATTGAAAAGGGGCTCAAGTGAAAAGCAATAGAAAATAAAAATGGGGCTATGCCCCTTTTTTATTCGTCCGTCAAAAACAAGAGATTGAAAAGGGGCTCAAGTGAAAAGCAATAGAAAATTAAAAAAGGGCTATGCCCCTTTTTTATTTGTCCGTCAAAAACAACAGAACTGACAACCTACTGTAGAAAAGGGGCTCAAGTTCGAGTTTGTCAACACCAAAAAGAAAAAAATGAACAGAGCAAAAGAAGAGATTGAAAAGGGGCTCAAGTGAAAAGCAATAGAAAATAACATGGGGCTATGCCCCTTTTTTATTCGTCCGTCAAAAACAAGAGATTGAAAAGGGGCTCAAGTGAAAAGCAATAGAAAATAAAAATGGGGCTATGCCCCTTTTTTATTCGTCCGTCAAAAACAAGAGATTGAAAAGGGGCTCAAGTGAAAAGCAATAGAAAATAAAAAAGGGGCTATGCCCCTTTTTTATTCGTCCGTCAAAAACAACAGAACTGACAACCTACTGTAGAAAAGGGGCTCAAGTTCGAGTTTGTCAACACCAAAAAGAAAAAAATGAACAGAGCAAAAGAAGAGATTAAAAAGGGCCTCAAGTG